CGGCGCCAAGGTAGTTTCCCTCGGTGGTTGCTCAAGCAAGGAATCTCTGCTGCGTAGATATCCCACGGTGATGGGTTAGGACATTTGGGAATGTTGGGGCTATTCCCAAATAATCCGCTCCCATTTCCAAATGAGCATTGGTGACAGCCAATCCAGTATGACCTTATGCGCTTCCAGTTTAGCACGGAGGCCATTGGTAGGCATCGGTGTCTAGGCGCACATATTGAGATAGGTCTTCTGGTGCCATCATGTGTTGTCTCATTCTGTTACTGTCCTTGAAGTAGCATTGATGTAGAAGATGTCTCAGCTACTCAGCATCGATGTTGAAGTCTGCTCCATTTCGGCAAACAGGGGTGTTGTTGGAGATACGCGGAGTCCACTATCCGGAGTGGCGTCGGCGCTCCATTTCACGCCTATCTGCTTCCGTGGAGTTGGTGCTGGTGATGGATTGGTTGCGACGCAGGTTTTATGACTTTAAGGAAAGCCATCGGCCATGAGGACTTGTATACCGGTAGAATACCGTGGTCCTCCCATCCTCATAAGAGCAAATATCTTCCGCTCTTAAGGGTGTATGGCATTGCCATGTTGTTTCCTCGCATAGTGGTATCTCCTTCCCACTAGCTGGAAATCATAGGACTGTGCCTGGCCGGGACTTAACGATCCACTGGAATATAATCCAGCATTATCTCCATTGAGCGGAGAATCATCCATCAGGGTTTGGTTGTGACTGTTGTGACGAGTCTTCTGCTGTGGCGGCGGCGGCGGTTGCGACGACGGCGACGGCGGCAGCTGCTACAGAGAATTCTCTCAACTCGTACTAGTTGAAGGAGAATCCATCAACTCCCTCTTCCCAGTAGAGTGTTCCTGATGGGTGTAACAGGCGTAACTACCAGGAACACGTGCATTTTGGTACACATGTGTTGTTCCATTGCTGCCGGTGATTGTTTCATTTGAGGGTATGAAGATAAATTTGCTTCTCCCCTCGATGTATCCACGGGTAGCAATTCCTGGTATGCTCATCCGTGCCTCCGATGTACGGTCGGTAGAGCGCGTGATCGTGTTGTAGTAGTCCGCATCTCCCTCATTTGTTGACACCTCGTGTTGCTTGACGTTCTCCTGTATCGTCGAAGTTACGCTGATGCTTGTAACGCTTCGGCTTCTGGTAGAATCGCCTCCAATGCATGTGCCGTAGGGTCGCTAGTGAGCGAGTACTTGCCGGATTAGAGGTTAATTACTCCTCAATCTGTCAAGCATCGTGACGTGCACGGAATTTTCTTCCACACAGGTCATTAACACCTGGAATCGCGACGCATGATTGGTGTGTCGCCTCGTAAGGTCGATGTTGAGACTGCTCCAATCAATCACCTCGGATGGCTGAGATTCTTGATGAAAATGAATCGTTCAGCTCCTGTTACGAAGTAGTGTCTCGCTGGCCTTGACGAGACGGGTTCACTGCGTCGTCGTTGCGTGCGAAATCTGCTCCTTCGCAGCAACTTGAACTTCGGAGCATTGCAAGAGAAAACGGCTACTTCTCTGCAATCCCATAATTTGTCGATCAATTTGTATGAAAATGTGTCTCGTGGATGGAGAACATGTCTTCACGCAGCTCCATTGTTTTTCCTGGGTGAAGATCCTGTCGTGTTGATGTCGATCCATTTTTAAGGAAGATGACTTCGTCGAAATAAATCGATCGTTATCGACACTAGTTAGAAGATGCGTCGATTGTGCAGTCGCTGGTCACGAATGTTGTCTCCATGATGATGATTTCCCATAAGTGTAGTCTCTGCTGCATTCGTGCCGTTGATTCCGCACCGATCCGACGATCCACGTTCTCGTGTCAATTTTCTGCATGCAGATATTACCAAGTAGGTAATACTCTGGCAGATTTCTGACTCTGCAGATGATTTGCGCACCATATTCGTCACCAAATAGAGGAGTCTGAATTTGGTTGTCCAAATGTTGTCGATCGTGTCGAAGGCGGCTGATTTTTGGATCTGCGCGTCATTCTCCCTTTGTACAGAAGTCACGCTCCATCTCGTCCGTTGAAGTAGAAGTCGATCCGACGGTCCAAACTCCAAGTGATCTGAGGATACTCCTGAGTCGCGTTCAGCAGCTTTCCGTGCATGGGTTGACTCGTTTCCTGCAGCAATTCTCGGTCGTCGATGTCGGCTGTCGAACGATCGGACGCTCCGAAAAACTTCGCGGCTTGCGAGGTCCCGTTCCCAGTTGCGCTGAAACTCGAACTCGCTCAGCAGGATTTTGTTTTCGCCTCGGTCGATCTGAAGCGTCGAATCTCCATCGGACGGATGTCGTCGGTCGAACCTCCGCAGTGTTCCGCGCAACTCCAACTGTTGTCGCGAACTGCGAACTTCTCCGAATGTCGCAGGGAGTGTTCCTCCGGAACTGACGCGCTCGCCAGGTCGAGGCCGTTTGCCCCCGCGAAAAATCGGCTCCGTCGATGCAGTCCATCGAACGGTCGGCGAGGCATCTCGCCTTCGAAGGGGACCCCAGGTGCAGCTGCGAGAGGTGAGTCGAAACTTAAATGGAAGTGCATTGTACTTACAGGAATTGAAGTTTCGACTCCATCCTCCGCGTGCTCCTGGGGGCCCAGCGGTTAAGCGTTGAGCTGAACCCTTGGCTCTGATTACCAAGTGTCACAGGATCGAATGTCCCGAGGAAAGGTTTGCTCAATGTTGCACTATCAATCAATACAAGGTGCTTTTATACTTCCAAGATACATCAGGTAACCAGGTTTATCCTATCCAAAGGGAATAGACCCTTCTAGAAATAGAATCACCATGCGTATAGCCACGCAAGGCTATTGGCTTTAAGGGATTACGGCAGGATTACGCTAGATATAGCGCGCCAGTACATCCCGAGCCTGGTCGGTGATATAATTATAATAACAGGATAAACCAAAGGATAATGGAAAAGGAGGAATAGGAAACCAAATGAGATGAGATAAAGACCAAATGAATCAGGATAAAAAGAGGAATAAAATAGAAAGGAAATATGGAAAGGAGAAATTAGTGTAACGAGGTCGTACTCTCACAAACCCTTTCTTGACTCGCGTCCGACACTGTTGCCACATTGCCAAGCCTACCCACTTTCCGAGGTTATCGCCCTAGCACGCCAACCCCTATATAACCTCGTGCCTTCATTGCAATAGTGACTTGTATTCCCACGTTATAGTTCATTGACGATTCCTATATCATAACAGCTGGTATCAGAGCCCGACCTTTCTCGGAACCTTCTGTTCTCACGCTACTTAATTGAGGGTGGTCAGAGGGAATTAGCACGGCTACACAGCAGTTGTCTTGGGCCATAAATATTTTTACGCCAACAACTACAGTGTGTGCGCTAGCTTTTGCCCCGTCCTGACCGCCATGGCCCTGGTAGATTCGATTGTAGAGGAACAGTCCACCTCAACTGCGGCGAACCCTGCCCGGGAAACTGTGGACCTGCAAGCATTAATAGAGCAGTTGCAGAATTTGACATGCGTCGTCAACGAACTCCGCGACGAGAACCAACGTCTTCGCCAAGCGCAGGAGATGCGTTCAGAGGATCCGGACGACAATGCACCAAGTGAGGCGGGTGAGCAGAAACCGTCGCCAGTGGAGGTGGCATGACTAGCCGCAACGGCCCCGCGCTCGACAAGTGGCGGCGTAAGATATCAGCAACCTGCTCCTTTCGATCCAGCCAATAATGGCGTGACGGTGCGGCAGTGGACATTCGCCATGAATATCTATTTTAACGCGGCGGGCATCAGAGACGATCAGAAGATGATCAGCCACGCGTTAACACTATTGCAAGGGGCCGCCCTACAGAGGTGGAAGGTCGTCGACTCTGTGGCAACTCGCACAGAAGGACAGCATGAGTGGTCCAAATAATTCGGCGACTTGACGAGGCAGATCTGTTGTTCGGAGCAACCCACATTCGCATGTGGGCAACGTGGTGCGCAGAGCTTCGCAAGCGGTTTGAGCATGCTCCTGACTTAGACAAGGCACGCAAAACTCTACGCCTGTGGAAGCAGCTGGGATTTGTGTCCGAGTACACCGCGTCATTCTTGACGTTGGTGGATAGATGTGCCTACATGCACGAGTTGGAGAAGGTCGACAGGTACATGGGCGGCTTGAAGCCCAAAATATAGTACCAGATAAAACTACAGTGCCCTGCGAAGTAGTAACAAGACTACATTCAAATGCCGAAGCCGCTGATTTGATCACGAAGTCGAGGACGAACTTCTATGACGGAGGTTGCCTTCGAGAACAGTACCAGTGTGCCACGATAAAAGGGGTGGATGCAGTGGACATTTACGCAATTGCTCTGCAAAACACGAGGCTATGCTACCACTGTGGCTGGCTGGGTCACATTCGACGCAACTGCCAAGAATTCATAGCCCTCCAGAATTCTATGGGGAAGAAGCCGGAGGAGCGGCCGGGAAATGGGTCGCGTCAGTAAGTACCGGGCCCCTTACTGACGGGCAGGCTTCTTCGCCCGAGCCACACAGTCCCCACCGGGTTATGATCCCGATTGCTGCAATCGTCCGGACCCCGACGAATAAGGGGGACGAAATTGCTTATCACCCTGTGTTGGTGGAGGGTAAAGTCAACAGGGTGTTATTGAAGATTTTCGCTGATTGAGGCGCGAGTCAGAGTCTCATACAATTGGACAAGGCTAAAAAATTGGGTATACCCTTACTCAAGTGTCTACCTGAAATCGACGCCCGAGTGGTGGACGGGACACCGCTGGCAATACGGGAACGAGTGGAGAGCATCGGTTTTAACTGTGGGGAGCATGTAAAATTTCGGATGAGACTACTGGCGACTACTCTCGACGGGTGCGACGTGCTGCTGGGACGTGATTGGTTGCGACGGTACAACCAGAAGATTGACTGGACGACAGGCGGCTGCAGCATCAAGCTCGATGGGATCTCCTGCGAGCTACCCAAGTGGACGGGACCTCGCATGCGAAGCACCCAAGTCCACGCGATCACTTTGAAACGTGTGATGAAAGTTGGAGCTGCAGCGTACCTCGTTGATCTTCGCGAGGTGACATCGACGGTCAAGAGCGAAGATATCGAGAAGCTGTGCAAGGCCGTTCCTCCGGAATTAGTGGAACTGATTCGGAAATACCCAAGGATTTTCCCAGACGATCTGCCAGCTGGACTCCCACCGAGCCGACCTGAGGACCACCGGATCGAGCTGGAACCAGGCGCCCAACCGACGGTACAGCGCCAATTTTGGCTCAGCCAACCAGAACTAGAAGAAATGCAGCAGCGGCTGGATTACCTTCTAACGAAAGACTTTATCTGGCCCAGCACGTCACCATACACCACCCCGATACTGTTCATGCCGAAGAAGGATGGAGGATTCAGAATGTGCATCGACTACCGTGCGCTCAACCGGATCACCATCAAGTCGCGTTACCCGATCCCGCGAGCCGACGAACTTCTGGACCAACTTCGCGGCGCCAAGTTTTTCTCGAAAATCGACTTGCGCGGCGGTTACCATCAGATTCGCGTCGCCGCCGGAGATTATCACAAGACAGAATTCCGAACCCGTTGCGGAAGCTACGAGTACCTGGTGATGCCTTTTGGCCTCACGAATGCGCCCTCGACTTTCCAAATGACCATGAACGGTGTTTTCAGAAAACTCTTGGACAAATGCGTCATTATGTACCTCGACGATATTCTGATCTACAGCCGCAATAGGGAGCAGCACTTACGAGATCTTGATGTAGTCTTCACGCTGCTGCACAAGAATCGCCTCATCACGAAAGGGTCTAAGTGCGACTTTCTTAAGCAGGTGTTGGAATTTCTAGGCCACATCGTCTCTACTGAAGGAGTGAAAATCGACCCCAAGAAAATCAAGACCATAAAAGAATGGAAGCCGCCAAGCAACATCAAGGAGCTGCAGATTTTTTTGGGTTTCGTCAATTACGTCCGCAGGTTTATACCAAATATGGCTGGGTTATCTGCCCCGCTAACTGATCGAGTCAAAGATCACGATTGTTTTTGGTGGAGAGAGAAGCAGCAAGCCGCATTTGACCAACTGAAGATTGGGCTCACGTCACCGCCCATCCTTTGCATCGCCGATCCTGACCGTCCATATGAAGTCATCACCGACGCTAGCGACATCGCCATCAGCGCAGTCCTTTTACAAGATTTTGGTGAAGGATTACAGCCGGTCGCCTACGAATCACGGAAGCTGCAGGGCGCAGAGAAAAATTATACTGTACACGACAAGGAAGTGTTAGTGATCGTTCACACGTTCAAGACCTGGCGGTGCTACCTGACTGGCGTTGCTGTCACTGTGCGAACAAACCACAAATCCCACAAGTACCTGCGAGCCCAGCCGAACCTCAACCCGCGACAAATCCGATGGCTCGATTTCCTCCAGTCAAACTTCCACTACACCATCACCTACAAATGGGGCACCAACAACATTGCCGATGCCCTGACCCGACCCACTGCCCATAGAGCCGCCATACTAATCGCCCAAACCAGCCCACTCCGTAAAGGACTATTTATCCATGGCTACAAGATCGACCCTTTGTTCCGCTCCGCCATTCACCAACAGTATACCATTGCTACCGGACACTATTCTAACAAGCGCTACATTTCCCGTATGTGGGTTCTCCGCTACGATATACTGCGAACCCTCCTAATCAAGGAATCCTACAACAACCCTACCTCTGTTTTTTTTTTCTTTTTTTTTTTTTTTTGGGCTTTAAGGAAACCCTACCTCTGGGCATTTCGGATTCGACAAAACCATGAGGACATTCTAGCATCATTATTACTGACCGAACATGGCCGATGACGTGCGCAAGTATGTGTCCTCCTACACCGCCTGCCAAATTATGAAATCCTCCCATCAGCAAGTAGTGGGACACCTATAGTCGTTGGATCCGCCCGAGTGACCCTGGCAACACGTCACGATGGACTACGTGACAGGACTGCCAGCCGGTCCCAACGGAAACGATGCCATCCTCGTGGTTGTTGACCAACTCATAAAAATGGCGCACTTCATCAACTACCAACAGAAAATTACAGTTGAGCCAACTGCCCAACTGTTCATCGCCAACGTCATTAGGCTACACGGACTGCCCACCGCCATCATTGCAGGCTGAAGCCCGAAACTCACATCAAAATTATGGCGCCACCTGTGGGACCAATTTGGCACCAAACTCTATTTTTCCTCCGCCTACCACCCACAGACTGACGGGCAGACCGAGCGCGTTCACCAAACCATGGAGCAACTCATTCAAACTACCTGCACTGACCCACAGACATAGGAAAAATCCCTCCCCTTGTTGGAATTTGCGTACAATAACGCACCTTCCGCCACAACCCTTCAATCCCCATTTTTCCTAAATCACGGACAAGACCCCGTGGTACCCTCTACACCAAACATCGAGACACCAATGCCCCGGTCACAGCAATTTGCCGAAGACATCCTAGCAGCCCGAGAAAAAGCAGCCGAGGCAATCCGGAAAGCCAACTTGGTCGCAAGCCGACAAGCCGATTGTCATCGACGTGACGTCACTTACAAAGTGGGCGATCTTGTACTACTCGACACTCGCAACTTGCGTCTGCCGATCCCGAGCAAACTCTGACCCCGCTTCTATGTACCTTTCTGAGTGACCAATATGGTGACACCTGTCACCACTCACCTCCGACTCACGGTAGACTGGCGTCACCACCTTCTTAGCGTAAACTTATGGTTTGAAATCATAGCATACGTGGCAATATATGCTAAGGAGTTTGTACCCTCTAAGGTACGACCCCATACAGGCTGTATAACATATAAAGATATGTTTGACACACCCCTAGACTGGGTAGGGGAGTGCCTAGTGAGAGACAAGCAACTCAAGATGGCACTACTACTCTGACCTCTGAGGCAAGGGTAAGAGGACTAGTTCACAAGAATACAAAAAGGGCAAGAGCAAAACCAGGGCAGCACTACTAGTCCAACCACAGGGAAGAGGCCACAAGGCCAGTCAGGTAAACATATATATATATATATATATATATATTTAGAATGCGCTAAACACAATCAAGGTCCTAGCAAGTGAGGTGCTACAGGAACTAGACCAAGCTGTACACAGTGCCGCTGATGATCTTTAGGCATAAGCGCCTTCGTAAAGATATCAGCTCTGTTGGCACCAGAGGCCAAGTGTACTGCGCGAGCAAGGCGACGCTGCTGTAGCTCGCGCAGGAGGAAGTACCGCAGCTGGATATGTTTCGCTCTGCCCTCTAGTCTAGGCTCTTAACACAGGAGGATAATGGCCCTGTTGTCAATGTACAGGACCGGGGCAGAGCTAGGCCGCTCACCTAGGTCTGTAAGCAAAAAGGTCAGCCAGCGGAGCTCCTGTGCCACCATGGCACCGGCGTAGATCTCAGCCTTACAGTTAGACTGGGCAACGGACGATGAGCGGGTGGACCTCCACGAGACAGCACCTGCACCAAGGCTAGAGGAGTAGCCTTGGGAGGACCTGAGAATCTCGGCGTCGTGTGCCCAAGACGCGGTAGTGTGCCTAGTAGGGACCATCGGCGCACCAAGTGTGACTGTGTAAGAGTGATGGTGCGCGCTGCTCTATCCTTGGAGATCTGCAGGCCAAGGTTGCGGCGCAGCTGTCCTAGGTCAGTGCACGTGTGTCTCTTCAGCAGCTCGGCCTTCACAGAGGCCAGTGCGTCTCTGTCTGCAATAGCTAAGACTAGGTCGTCTACGTAGGCAAGGATGTAGAACGAAGTCTGGCCAGAACCGACAAAGAGCGAGGGGTCTGCAGACGACGGGAAGAACTGTAGGTCAGCAAGGGTGGCACGCAGTGTGTCGTGCCACTCACGGGGCGCCTTATGCAGGCCGTAGACGCGGCGCCGGAGGAGCCACTTCGTACCAGGGGGGAAGGTAATGGAGAAGCCCTAGGGGTGGCACAAGTAGACCTACTCATGTAGACTGCCCCGGACGAACGCTGTAGAGAAGTCGGGGGAGTGCAGCTCATAGTCATGCTGCACTGCTATGTGTAGCAGCACCCAAAGAGTAGTCATCTTTGGGGTCGGGGCGAAGGTCTGAAAGAAGTCCACCCCCTCACGCTGTTTGAAGCCTCTAGCCACGTAGCGCGCCTTGAAGACAGGCGGCTCTCTAGGAGGGCGCTTCACCCTGAAGAGCCATCGGCCATCGACTACGTTCACCCCAGGTGGAAAAACTGCGTCGACGAAGGAACCGGTGGATCTAGAAGATGCCATCTGCTGCTTCCTGGCAGCTATCCACTGAGAGGCCCAAGGTCCCGAGGTGGCCTCAGCGTAGGTGCGAGGGGTCAGGATGTCAAGGGCGTCTGGGTCACCCTTAGGGACTAGCAGCATGGAACAGAGATGGGGAGCGGCCCCGGACAGGAAAGCGAGCTCGTACTGCTGGTCCTCTAGGATGTCACTGCCAAGGTCAGCCACAACCCCGACGGACGGAGGGCAGGCAGGGTCAGAGACCAGAGCGGTAGCGTAGTCAAGGCAAAGTCAGTGACACTAGCGACACGAGCCGATAGACTCGAGACAGGAACGGACAGGTCGGTAACAAGGGAGGCAAGGACACGAGGAACAAGGGGACGCACGGCACGAAGGAAATCAGAGAACGGAGGCGGGGCCAGGCGGGGAGGAGACGGAGGAGGAGACGGAGGAGAAGACGGAAGGAGCAGAGGGGCATGAGACAAGTGTGAATGAAGCAACATGGGGTGAGAACACTGAACAAGGGAGGTAGGACGAGCAGGGGACAGACGAGGAGCCCAGAGGTGAGAAGAGGGAGTCGGGTCAGGAGAGTGGGGAGGAGACACAGAAGGAGAACGAGCAGGGAAACGAGCCGGAGAGGAGTCTCGTGGAGGGAACACGGGTCTGTAGACCGGCAGAGGAGGAGGCGGCGGCAGCGATGGAGACGCAGGCAGGCAGTCAGGGGAAGGAAGACCGAGGAGGCGGAGCGCAGACATTGGCGGCGACTGCTGCTGCTGCGACTGCTTCACGCCAACACTAGAACCTCCAGCGGCTCCACGGCTACCTCCGAGATGCTCCACGCCCGCACCCCCAGAGCGGGAACCCGCCGCATTACCCAGTTCTAGACGCACCCCAGCACCCCCAGAACGCACAAACCCCAGCGGCGGCGACGACAACGGCTGCGGCTATGGCTGCGGTGGCGATGTCAGCGGCGGAGGCTACTGTGGTGGCGAGAGCGGAGGAGGGACTGGGGTGGGAATAGGCAGTGGACGGGAATCCTCAGAGCCACGGGAGTCAGCAGACTCCTTGACAGGGACTATGGACGGGGTGGGAGTGACGTGAGACACACTAGACGGGGCAGGGCGTGGAGCTAGTGAAACAGGGGGGACCGAGGGGGGGGAAACTAGGGACAGTGGGGGGTAAACCGGGGGACCACGGTGGGGAAAGCAGTGGTAGAAGGAGATGGACTCGTCAAAGTAACGTCGCGAGAGTGAAAGGACCGGTGAGATGGCGGGTGGTAGAAGTACCTGTCAGACGAGTCGAGGGGGAAACCGAGGAAAACATAGGGGACTGTGCAGGCAGTGAGCTTGTCCATGCTAGGGGCACGAACGTGAGCAAGGCATGGATCATGGAGGTACGAGCCACCTCCATGACCAAACCGATGCAGCACTCAGCGACCCCATTCTGCTGCAAGGAGTCCGGCAGGGTGTACGTCTGGGTGATGCCCTCCGCACGACAGTAACGACCAAGGGTACCAGAGGCGAACTTGCCACCACGGTCAGAGTGAAGACGAAACACCGGGAGACCTCTGTGAACACGCATAGAGACAAGCCACAGGAGGAGAACGTCAGGCACGTCGGCCTTCCGCTCCAAGGGAAACACCATGGTGTAGCGCGTGTAGTCGTCGGCAAGCACAAGGAAGTAGCGCTCGCGATGCGGCCCATGGGTGGGGGAGGGGCCCCAAACGTCCATGTGAAGGGTCTGCAGCGGTGCTGTGGTGGGAGGGAAAGAGGAGGAGTGAGGGGCAGGGCGGAGCCGACCCTCGACATAGGGGGTGCACGGGGGCGCTAGTGAGGAGGGCAGCGCAGGGAACGACTCAGGGAGACCTAAGACAAGACCGTGCTTAGACATGTGTCGCAGACATGTGAGGGCAGGGTGACCTAGACGGTGGTGCCAAAGAAGTAACGGGTGGGTAAGTGACCGACACGAGCAAGCCGCGGCTACCTGGGTAGAAGCAGACACCTAAGGAAACGTCCCGACCAGGGGGGATGCGGTGTCCAGCGTGAATAGGCCGGACACCGGGTCCCAGGGGAACGTGGTGAGGGGAGCACCAGTGGCGGCCTCTGTACAGATAGTGTACCGCTCATGACCAGGGAACGTAGTGGTGACGCCGAGGTCTTGGAGGCAGCCGACAACAACTAGGTTCCTGGAGAACGAGGGGATGTGCAGGCCTAAGCGAGAGCCCGAAGAAACTGCCGGACAAGGGAGGGTAGTGGAACTACGGGCGACTACCGGACCGGAGGAGGGGTCTGCAAGGGCAACTGCAGTTGGGGCGGCAAGCAGTGTGAGCGTAGTGG